AAAAAATATGTACAACCTAAACGGTAACAGATAATTGCAGAAAAGAAAAAAATGCACGACAAGGACAGTACGAAAAGGGACGTTTAACAGTTTTTTGACTCAGACACGAGAGCGTTAGTGTAATGTCGTAATTTGACTTAGCCCCATTGGGACATAACATTATCGGGCTATACCTTATTTAAACACTAACTATTCTCCATGGCCTGGTCCGTGTGGAGGATGATATTTTCAGAAATCAAAAAGATAATTAATAGTGTGTACTAAAACGTCCTTATGTCAATTTTCAATACAAATGAAAGATACATTTGCACAAACAAACACATCACCGTTTTAGGTTTAGTTTAGAAAAATCTTAGTGTCAAAAATGGTTAATAATATAGTCTGTGGCAGATCTGTCTGCGACTAAAGCGCCACGAGCCATCGAATACATTAGCCCGTTCGGTGTTTGCTCTGCGCACAGCAGCGCCACATGGCAGCGTCGCGTTTGTTTATTTTAATACTCAAGCATTGTTGATCGCCATGTTTGTTTAGGGAACTGTATTAAACTACCCTCGTGGATTTGTTTAAGGTAGACGTCAGACGTGCCGCGAGATTTAATCTTTTGGTCAAACTGTTCCTACGTATTTTTCTTTTCTTGAGTTTCGATTTGTTTGTACTGTTACTGTTAGAACTACTCTAAACATGTATGCGAACTAACAACATAACTAATCAATTGTTTTAACTTACAGTTAGTGAAGAAGATTAGAAAGAATTGAAATTCGCACACTGAGATATCGTTCTGGCATTTATACAAATAAATCTGAAATCTTTATTTGTTTGCTCATAACTTTTCAAAATTACACCTTGCTTACATATTTTGTTTGTAATAAATTAGAAACTCTTTGTAGTTGGCACACTCGTTGACTGATTCCATTACATGGTACTGAATGTTAAAATTAACAAGTCTCTATTTTAGTGGTTCACTACGTCATTACATCAAAAACATTTTTAGGATTTTCAGTTTGCACGATCTTCGTTTGATAATCAAAATCAATGAAAAGTTAAGCTCTTACATGGTTTGTACCGGAAGGGTTTATCCTTATTTTATTCTCATGTTATTCGTCGTCTTTTAGTTTTTCTTCCCTATATGACTATATGTTGATCAAATACTAGGTACAGTAACCAATGTAGTTAAATATAATTTCAAAGTTAATACCCTTTATTAATCAGTTCTAAGAACTTATTGTAATTTAATCACATTAAACTAATGTTGAAACCCCAAACAGAAACAATTAATGTAAAATGATCATAGCTTTGATATTAATCAATTAGAAAAGGTCCTTTAGCTAAAGCGATTTAGTAGGGAGTGTAGGTCAGAGGTGGCATCTGCAGAGCGTGTGCATCTCTTGGTTAATTACATTTGTCGCTACTCCCCGCCCTCCGCCGCCCCGCATCCCCCGCGACGCCCCGTTCGCTCCGCCCGCCCAATTCGGTTCATTTGCAAAGTGCATTTCGATGCTGCGCTCGATTGTTCCGACCCCGGACTTAATTGCCCGATGCTGGCCCGTTATTTATTATTGACATTCGCTTGTATATTTACCGGTGTTTATCGAGCGCCATTCATTTGGCGATTCGACTAAAATAGATCGTTAAATCTGCACGGCATCGGGCCGCTCGTAAAAATGGAACCGCAACTGTGTAAGTACCCGCTCGAATGTCGAATGGTTAAATCGTTTTAATGGATATCGCTTTGATAATGTAATATTGGGCGTGAGGACCCTTTATCTTTATCTGGATCTATTCGAATTATGTTTTTAAGAAATTGTACTTCAACTGTACAAGCCACATTAGTGCTTGTAATTAATGCGTTTTGAAATTACTAACCGAATTTCAAGACGGTGTCGTACGAATCTTGGATTATTAGTCTTTGAATTTTCCAGTCGTATTTCTATATTAATATTTGCTCTTGGAGCACGCACCGGATACTATAAACATCGGCAAGGAATTCTTCCATACAAATCGGCAAATTGTTTGCGTCGGGCGCACGCTCGGTAGCATCGTATCGCTCATTTGTATTGGTTCTGCATTATTTGCTTGTTTGCGAATGGTCCGTACGATGTTGTGCTTTGATTTTTTCCGGATATAATGCGGTGAGCGTGGCCCGAGGCTATCGACTTGTGCCAATCAGTGGAGATGTACCGTTCGTTAGACGCGACGCTTGCCTACACTGAGCACGTACGTGGACCTTTCGAACAGGAGCCACTGATTTTCTTTTAGACTCCAACATAAGTTTAGAAATCTTTGTTCGTTTTGATTGGAATGATTGTCTTTTAAGGTGCAATCATTTATCATGTTTAAGTTATAGGCAATTTTGTAGAATCAGTATTCAAAACCTAAAGAAGTAAAAAAGGAGATGGAATTTTGTGTTAGTAAGACCATAATAGGAATCTTCTTTGATATAACATATAATATGATTCTAATAATTGTCACAACTAGACAATTTCATAGTTGAACTACAAATTAGAAAGGAGCAACAAGGATGTAGTACTAAAATCATTGAATTGACTTTGTATTTTCTGGAGTGTTACTGGTCAACGATGTACTAAAATAGGACATGCATGTGTGATGCAGTAACGACTTGCATGTGACACGGCTCCTATGATATATGTCGCTGCTTTGGCGTGCATTGGCCAGATGTGCGGAACTGTGCGCCCACGCGCCTATGCACTCAATGTCAATTGTCTAATTACATTTAATTGCTTATTCTATTTGTATGTGTAAGGACAGCTTTTCCGTCTTCATTAATTATGAATGTTGCATAATTTATTCGTTTTGAGCATATATTTATTTGTGAAAGTTGCGTAAACCATAATAATCACGTGTTGACGCAAACGTTGTCGTCTATTGTAAAGTATGCCAAATATTTTACAACTTTAGCTGTTGTTGACGTATTGTTCTGTAGTACAATATAACATTCTAATTGTCTTAGAATTGCCGAAGTTCATTACCGCTTGTCTCGATCACTGCCAAGGCGAGTACGTGGGCCCACGATATATGCTTGATGGATATTGCTTCATACAGATTTATAGTTGGTTGCTCTTTGTTTTTTTCTAAGCAAATTTTTCTTGCAAATGAAAAGTTCCACTAAAAAACAAATATAATTAGAGGTAACTGATCTGTGTTCAGATGATATCATTGTATCATATGTGAAAATAAAGGAATTACATCTAATATTAGAATACAAAAAGGTTTTCCTCATAGCTAAATGTAATAAGAACTAATATAAAGAAAGAGAAGTCACGGTTTATTACCAACGTTGGACCCTTGAAGAACATACCGTAGTGAGTCCAGAACTTTCTATAAAAATAATTCTGTGAAGTATGGTAATTCAATAGATTCCGATGTTTATTGCTTTGAATAAATGGTAATAGCAGTACTCATGATTAAGTAAACCGATTCCAGGTGCAAAACACGTTAAAACATTAAAAACTAAAGAATGTATTTGAAAAGTAAAACGTAAAGAGTAGAGTTCGAATGTGAAAAAGTATAAAAGCGAGCAAACATCATCAGAGAGCACAATGGGTTGTGCAAACAGTGCACGCAGTATGATTGTGCTGGCGGGTCGCGCGGACCTCGCGTTTTTTACTCCAACGTCGCCCAATCAGCGCCAGTGGCAGTTGCAATTATCCGCCGTGACAAATCGAATTACGATCAATTCGGATTTGCGCGCATCCGTACGAATATAAAACGGTTTGCATTAAAATTTGTCGTCCGATGCACGGGATGCCTTCCCACTAGTCGGCTTGTGCGCTAACTTTGTTTGCTCCACGTCCCGCTGTCTGCACGGATGTGACGTTTTCATTAACTCGCATCACTTTTCACATTATTTTGCGTTCTCTACGCGGTTTTTGACGATTGCAGTAAATCCTCCTTAAATTTTCCTTAACTGAGTAAAACTTTTGTTTATAATATTCATTACATTCCTGAGCGATTTAAGTTTATTTTGGAAAGCTACAACATAAAGTTGGCATGTCGTAGCCGGCGCTTGCGTTGATATCACGAGATCTTCAGCAAGATTGTGATGTCTGATTAGCATCACAATTAATATAATAAAGTATGATTTAATGATGATAAATATATGCATTTGCGTAAGCACTAAAAGCTTTTACAACCATTTTCTTACATTATAAACATGAAGTTCTCTTTGAAACCTATTTTAAATGATGTCAAATAACTATTTCATTTTTTGGCATTCCATTCAAGCCTTCATATTTTTTAGTAGATTTTACAGTACGATATGCAATTACTTAAACAATTCTAAGTCTCATTTTGTACCAAAAGTAACTATTGTTTTAGTAATATTTCAACTTACTGCGTTGGTGCAGCGACCCAAAGTGGGTCTTGGCCTCCGAAACGAGAGAGCGCAAAATAATTCAACACTTCATCAATTCTTGTTATTTTCCAGGTATGGTTCCAGAACAGACGGGCAAAGTTTCGTAAGCAGGAACGCCTGGCACAGCAGAAGGCGGGCGAGGCGCCTGTGAAGGCGGAGGGCAAGCGTGACAAGCCCGGATCCCCCGCCTCCCCGCAGCACACGCCGCCTGCGGCCACGCACCACAGCCTGCCGCATCTCTCCCCACCTGACCTCAAACCTATCACCTCCGCAGGTATTGTTTCTTACCTCTCTATAAGACTTTTACTTAATTGGCTATACTCCTGCAGTTATTTCGATGTTTTAGATGGCAAAAGCCGATCCGTTTTTATTTTAATTAAAAAAAAAATTCCACGAGCTTTAGACAATCCTTATTAGATTTTGTTTTCCTTCAGGAATTAGAGCAAAATATTTATTTAAAACAGAATAAAATGGTCAACAGAAGATCGTAAATTTCCTTTCTTATGTTGTTACTTCAAATTGATATTAATGTCGTTATTAAATATATCATTAAGTTTGTCATTATTTGGTACTTGGAAGAGTAATGCGAGAACAAACATTGTTGGCATGAACATCTAGGCGATGACAACTCTGCCACCTGTCTTTGGTTTATTATTAATGAAAATTATAATGCAATTGACAGAACTAATATTAGATTAATAGTTATTTTTATAACTTCCTCATTTTCTCTTGAAAATATATGTTTATTGTTAATTCAAATTTTGTTCTTTAAATAAATGGTGAACAAATTAAAAATATATAATTCTCACCGCATATTTCGTTGTTTTAACTAGCCGCAACTGTCAAAGTCTGACAACCAAATAGTTTGTTTCTTTTGTTTGTGTGCTGCGAACCATTAATAATTGTCAAGTCTCAAATCTTTTCCGATCAGTAACTACCTTTTCTAAAACGATTTTTAAAAACAAAAAAATCTTTAACATTGAAATTATAACAAAAGAAACTTATCAATGCAGAGTCAAATAAAGTAAACACAAGATAAAAATTCGTGAATTTATCTTTTTGGGTTAGTTATTCTTCTTCCAGTTTTGAAAATTGACAAACTACGTTAAATTTTTTAGCAACGTGCACTCTGACCTTATAACGCATGTTCAGGTTCTAAAAATAATCACAATAAATGAATGGGCAATAAAAATTAACAACGAAATAAATGTAGTAAATCCTTAAAAATTACCTTAAGCTTACAAATTGCCCATCAATTCGTTTTAAAAGTTAAACGCTACTAGATAATCAGAGAATCTTACCGCCAAACGACCTATGTATAAATACTTTGAGAACTCGTGAAAGAAACCGCAATAGTTTAATATTTTAGTGTTTCGAGTGTTATTTAGTGGCGTACGGACACACGGAGAGAGCGTGAAATAATATTTATTTTTGCTACAGTATTTTGGCAGCGCGGCCCGCGGTTGATAAAATGAAATGATGGTTTTTCACACCGCACATGGCTTCTAGTGTAAATAACGTTTAAACGATTAGAATTGTAAAGCTTATAATATTTAATTTAATTATGTGGTTATACGAATGTTGTTGCAAAATGATATCGTTAATATTCGTATTTACGATTTGGTACAGAAAATAAGCCGGTGCAGACTTTGGTAAACTACAGTTAGTTAATGCTAAGTTATAAGAGTATGTACCAATGTGAAAATTGAAGGTAACTTATACTGGCTATTCAATCTTTTCCTTCACTCTGTAATGTGTCTGTCAAAAGATTAAAAAAAAAGGAAAACGTTATCTGTCACTTTTGACAGCCGACATACACGTGTTACAAAAAGAACGTTGATCATTGATCATCATTATTCTTAATCATTAATTATTATATTTACTTAATCATTATTACTTTGGGACACTGCATCATCTGTACTAATATTATAAAGAGGAAAGATTTGTATTTTTGGATTCGTATTGAAATAGCGCAAAAACTACTGAGGCGATTTCAAAAATTCTTTTACTATTAAAAGCGTTATAAACTATTAAACGTTATAAGTGAGTAACAAAGGCTATGTTTTATTTATTTATGAAGTTCACGCGGACGAAGTCAAAAGCAACAGTTAGTCTTTAATAAAAAAAAACCACCGCATTGAAAAAGCTTCTATTGCAATCATCTATTTCATTGTAAAAATAGACACAAAATAAACAAATCATTCTATTCTGAGAACAACTAAGCGAATCGCATTCGTATAATATCACATCGTTGACGTGACGTCAGTGTACCATCATGGTGTATATTTAGAAGGCATATCTTCTACATCTTGACGTAATTGTATTGAACATCGAATTATATGTTAGTGAGTCATCGTGATCCGATCGGTGGTAAATCTCCGCGATGCGCGTGGGCGAACACAACAAGGCTGCTTTCGTCAAACTTAATTTGTCTCCCGCAAATAGATTTTAAATATAGCAACCATTTCAAATACGTGTGCATACAATTACGTTTATTTTTAGCTGAAAACAATTCAGGTCAAGTACGAGGAGCTTTCAATGAGAGATCCTTGTGTGATTCGTGACATCGTCGTGTTAATTTTTGAGTGCTTACAAATTACACAGCTAAGCTTTAACCGATTTAAAGACTGTATTAAAAAGGTGTTCGTCAATTGATTGATTATAACATGTTTGAAGGAAAAAGCACAAAACAATAGTTAAAACCATAACTTAGAAAAG